AATTGTTAAAAGCAGTACATTTTAAATTTTCTCTAGGTAGATTCAGAATATAGTGTAATTTGTGTAATCCGATTATCTTCATTTCCTATATTTGTCTCCATTAATATTTCCCCCAAGTTCTTATAACTTGGATGGATGATGATGTCCCATACTAATATCAATGGCTTATGCTTAATTAATTAACCACGTCTTAACCATGATTTTGATTATGAATATTTCCATGTAAATAATATTTGCTAACAAAAGATTTGGCGCGCGTTCTTTCAATCATGGCAATTGGCGGCATACTATTTCCATTTACACACTCGGACTAAGGATGTTCAAGATGAGCACCTGAACACATAATAAAGTATTTCTATTAGACACTCGTTGGGGAGATATTAGGAAAATGGTTCTTGGTTCTTATTTTTAGCGGGGAATCGGAGCCTTTAAATTTGGTTAACGGAGTAGGAGTTTGTTTTTAATTTATTGGGTTCTTTTTTAGCTGACCAGTCTTTTTTTTTTTTATGCAATTACCCAGTTGCAATACTGGGCTCAGTTGTATTCAAAAAGGATTAGTGAGGGGGGCTAAGCCTAACCTCATAAAATACAACTTGGTGATTCCATCACCCAAAACGACCAACAGAAGAAGAAAAAAGAAAAAAGAAAAAAAAACAGAGGAGATATATACAGAGGGGTTCTCCATCTGGGAAGAGCGAAGGGTACATCTCTAGCTGGAAAAAAAATTAGCTTTGTCGAATTTGGTTCTGATACTTGGTATTTGCCACTTATCCAAGAGGAAATAGCCTTTAGCACATGTAGGAAGTTGTTGATATGAGTTGATAGTCATGCTATTACCCGAGGTAGAAGCCAGTTTCGCAAGACAACTTGCAACTTGGTTGCCTTCTCTGTAGCAGTGCATTACTCTTACATCGGCCTGTTGTATATTGTGCAGCATTTTCTCAATAACTTGTTTGATTTTAAGATTGTTGGTGTCTCTATTTATCAATATATTTGCAATTACCATAGAGTCGAGTTCGAGGATAAAATTTGTGTAGCCTTTTAGCTTGTACCATTTCAGTCCAAACTCAGCAGCTAGAGCCTCCGCAGTATTGCTGTTATCACACTGGACAACCCTCGAGAAGGCCATAATAAGATCACCATTGCTATTCCTTGCGATGCCTCCTATACCTACTTTGTTGTTTTCTCTGATGTAGCTACCATCGGTATTAACTTTGATACATCCCTGATTTGGTGTTGCGACCACAACACTTGACTCCAGCTTTGCATTGGTTTCAATTTTTCGATTCTTTGGCATAGA